CTGTACCCAAAAAGATACTGGTGTCTTCATGGCAATCCCAGTGGAATGAGTCCAGCAAGAAGAAAGGCAAATACTACTATGCAGTACAACCAAACATTACTCCAAAGCCTTGGTTTTACCAACACAAAAAAACTGCAAAAACTGTAATATCTGTAATCTGTCGTCTACGCTTGGGCCATTGTTGCTCCCCAGTGTTTCTACAAAAAATTCGTGTACGAGACTCCTCTCTATGTGAATGTGGCCTTGACGAGGGGACCCTGGAACATATATTTTTTGATTGCCCCCTTAATAACTCACTCCCCAGTCTGTACAGTAAACTAACAAAATTGAACATCCCCCTTCCTATAAACTTTGCTTCCCTTCTGACCCATTCCTCCCGTCCACTACGTGTATGCCTTATGTCGTTCATCAATTCCAATAATATCAGACTCTGACTTGAATCCTGATAATGTTTTGTCAATACTAATGTAGTATCTAGTTATTATTATTATTATCTATTGTTATATATCTGTTTTATATATGTATAATTTGTATCCGTAAGTAGCAGTGTGTTGTATTTGTAATACTTGTTTCAGTGTCCTAACTCCATAACAAGATTCACAAAGAAAACAAAATTTTAACAGGAATACCTGGTGTTCGTTCTCTTATCACATACATTTCAGCGCACGACTGACATTGGCAGAATTGTCGACATATCGGCATCGTTTGCCATAGAGAAAAATAGAATAGAATAGAATAGAATACTAGGCAAGTTTGTCCTACAATAATTCTGTATGATACCCATCTTTTGTATATGGTTTCTCCTAAATTATATAGACTCTGTATTTATAGAAGTCTATTTTTACCTGTATAGAATTGAATTATAACTTCAAAGAAAATGGTTCAACCGTCGAGACTTGAACAAAACTTTTTGCATTTTATTTTCGCAAAGTAAGTACATGTTCACATACCTGCATATTAATTTAAGACTTTTTTGCTTATAAAAACGAATTTGCCGACATGATACCACGTGAAATGATTTTAGTAAATAAAACAATACATTTGTGTTCACGATCCGTGACGACGCATTCGAGTTTTAAGTGCAAAATAGAATTACAATTACATGTCTATAATATCTGAAAGCTCGTAGGTATTACCTAACCTTATAGTTTTTACATAGTAGATACATACTTACAATGTTTATGCCTAGGTACTAATTTGTGACAACCTCATTGAAAAAATAAGTGACTGAAAACCGATATGATAATTTAATTAGTAAGAATTAGTTTTTAAAGACCGGCTTAGTTTTCACACATATTATAGCGACTCAGTTTTTATACATATAACGACTTAGTTTTTATATACCTGCCTACTTAGTTTTTATATAGCATATAAACTTGTAAGCGAGTAGTAACTAATTATAAAATTGTAAAAGAGCGATTTGATTCATCACGGCAATAAATTTTATCTTTGTAATCTACAAGGAAGCGGGATACTCACTTAAGTGGAGAAAGTTACATTCTTTATACACAGACAGACAAAAAGTTATTTTTAACATATTTGTGATAAATAAATTAGATGGAACACACAATTAAGTGAGCTTTAAAGATAGCTATGATTTTCAAAAGTTAATATTTTGTTTATAATAGATAAACCTAGCCTTTGCATAGAATTGAATATTCAGATGAAAATCTCGCTTGTCCCCGATAACAAGTAATAATTGCCATGTATAATTTATGCATAGATATGCATTTAATCAAGATATAAGTACTCACAATATGGAGCATACTATGCAGACAGCTGTTGAATTCCCTTCTCTCCGGTATCGCCCCGTCGAGTGAAAACACAACACAATTGTTTGTTTAGTCAATTTGCACAAGCCTTTATTCCGGTTATTAACTCTATTATACAGCTTAACATTTACAGGCACAGATAGCTATAATGAAAACGAAACAATTGCATATAACGTGACTACTTATTTTCGTCGACTGTAAGAACTGCGAACGCACAGTTGTCACGACAACAACGCGACATACGTCTCGCGCGCTGTTATTCCCAGAACGAACTGGAATTGTTTTGCTTTTATTTTAGCATGAACAATTTGAACGAATTATACAAAAGAATGAATGAAATATTGTTAACCGTGAATGAATGGGTTTATTAAAGCCAAAAGCCAGAGCTGTTAAAATGTTGCCAGTTAATAAAGATTTAAAAATTCTTATTGTGTCTATGGATTATTTGAGCAATTTTGTAGCCAATGTCAAATTTTATTTAGATTATAAATTATAAAACTGATCATATTTATTTCAGGTATAAATATTTATTTATACCTGAAGATATCTATCAATTTTGATATTGCAATAATCTAACAGTCATTAATGGAAATTATGGTAAACTTCAATTTATAGAACTATCATTCCATTTAAATTTCATCGTGAAAACCAAATATCCTACGGCATCAGATGCAGGTGTCATCATCATTCATTCGCATTTCGGCTACGTTCCGTCGTCTCTCATCCGTTTTATTAATGGGCCATCTTTCAGAACCATACAGGACCGCAGGTCTGATGATAGTTTTCTAAATTTGTCCCTTCAGTGTTGAGTTGAAACTGGGGTTACAAATTGTTTCCATTACCTGCCGCCACTTCATCCATCCCGTATTGATTCGATGCTGTACAGTTCGATCAATCTCACCATCAGATGCAAGTGTCTGCAACGCAAAAGGACATTTCATTCAATCAGACTGGCTGTGGCTTGGTGACGGGTCGCCACGGCAGGCTTGGCCATGTACGTTAATAAACGTATCGTGTACTGCGGCGAGGATACGCGTCCTCATGCGCAAGTGACTTTCCATAAAATATTTTGCGATGCGGCAACGTCACAATTTTTTAATCTAAACGCTTCTCGTCGGACTCTAAACCAGTTAGACTTTTGCGAAATACGTAATAAGTATGTGTTTTTCTAATTTATGTAATCATACTACAGTAGTAGTTTCTTTGAAGCAAAATTTTGTTTTCAATTTGCGAAATAATTATTTTTCCAAAACATAATCTTGTATCTGGTTTAGATATTTCAATGAACGTTAGATAATTTGACAGTTACAATGGTTTTCATATATAGAAATACTTCTGGCAACACTTATCTTCCTTCCGTCCATTTTCATTTCGCAAACTTAAAAAAACGACGACGAAAAAGAAAAGACATTTCTCTTTGTTGAATTATTTCTTGTTGTGGGATAATGTGAGCTGCCTATAGTTAATATTGTTTAGTATTAATTTATTTAGTTTTACCAAGAGGACACTGTGAAATCAGGTTTTTAACTGTAAGTTTTATGACATTTGATTCGATTTGTTTGTAAAGTGAGAAAGTGACCGTTTGTCGGGCATTCTCGGTCGGCGCAGATGCGATCTAATTTCACATCTCGCTGTAAAACGAACACGGCTATAAATGAACCGGCTCGTTATTAACTATTGGTTCCGCATTATTAACCAGGTAGCCATTATTATAATCGAAAGCAAGTGTCGTTGATTCACCGTCTCATATGTATTTTATCATATTTGTGATTGGTTTTATTAATTGATCGCATCAGTTTAAAACTCACACCTACGTATTAAGAAAGTTAATACACAAACTATGTTATTCAATTAACACATGAACAGTGCTTGTTGTTATGAGTCAGTTATTATTCATTGATATTCAAAATTCTCACATCGACCTGGGCTTTGTTTACTTTAGTATTGTTTTGTGAATATCGATATACCGATGGGCTACATTCGAATTTTATTTAAACTTAATTTTATTTCCTATGTTCCCCAACCTTGACTGAAGAAAACAGTAGTGTTAATGCAAAGGTCAAATGTAAAGTACATTCTGCATGTTGTATTATGCTCAGGGTTAACCTCAGTCCTTTAAAGGAAACAGACAAATATAGCTGGCATACTCTCATATGGCTTTAATAAGTTGAGTGGAGGCAAAGTTATCTTTTATCAATCTGTAGCAACAGTTTCTGTACAAATTGGAGTTTTTACTCTACTACTTATCAATAAGCAGGGCTGTAATATATAAAATATATACTAATTAATTATAGAAGTTTCAGTATGTCTGTTCATTTTGTCATGTGATGCTAAAACTTTAAGATTTTTTAGTCTTTAGAATCTTATAAGCAACATCTATACTAATATTATAAAGCTGAAGAGTTTGTTTGTTTGTTTGTTTGTTTGTTTGTTTGAACGCGCTAATCTCAGGAACTACTGGTCCGATTTGAAAAATTCTTTCAGTGTTAGATAGCCCATTTATCGAGGAAGGCTATAGGCTATATATCATCACGCTAAGACCGATAGGAGCGGAGCACCAATGAAGAATGTTTCAAAAACGGGGAAAATTTATTACTATTGAGAGACGCAGACGAAGTTGCGCGGGTCAGCTAGTAAGACCTATAAGCCAATGAGAATGTAGACACATTCTTATGGATATTTTGAAATTACAATCTATCTTTATTAAGTCAAGCCTAGCATTATTCAGAAAAGAATATCAAGTGTATTTATAAAAAAAAGATACCCAAAAAACGAAAGATGTATCATACAAAGCTGATGTAGAGTAGAAAAAAATGATTTTTGACTATGTTATTGTTAGATGTATAGAAGGTAAATATTAAAATAAGAAACAAAAATACAATTTTAAAAAAGCTATAGAAACATGTGTTGATTGTTTTTATTATATGATTTGAAGGGCAAGCTCTTTTAGCATTAGAAGTTTTAAATAACTTTTTAAATAATGTGTTTTATTTTATTTATTTAGTAGATATGGAAATACCAAATTGTTAACTTGATATATGTGTACTAATTTAGCTAGATACATATAAATAATAAAGACTAACAAGAAATTCAATATCAATGTTACATTTCTAACTTGACTGCTCACTGAATAATGGCTTCTATAAATGTTTGATTAACTATACTAATAAATACTATTTTTTTCTTTCTAATACAGGATCAAAATTCAACAGTCTAACTTAAAACAAAATGGAGGATGAAAGTGAATATAAAAAGTTGCCAACTGAAGAGAAATGCGTTCACAAACTATGGAAGGCCCGAGTAGCTGGGTATGAAGAGGCCATTAAACTATTCAACCAGATTGACGATGAGAAATCATCTGAGTGGAACAAATATTTAGGACTCATTAAGAAATTTGTGACAGACAGTAATGCGGTGGCACAGGAGAAAGGTATGTGATTTAAGTGTTTTACTAACTAAATAACTTTTAAACCATCACTTTCCATGAAATATTCTTACTTACATAACTTGAAACTAACACAACCTTGTTTTGGACAGTATAGTACATTTCAAAGAGGTTACACTGAATGCAATGACAGGCTGATTTTTCAAATTATGCTATTAATGGTAAACTGAGAAACTGTTGACAAACTATACGAAGCATGATCTACAAATTTGTATTGCACTTCAAAGAACTAGGTTGCTAATAAATTTGTATTGGTATGTACTTACAAGAAATAGGTCTCCAATAGATTGCTAGTCAGGTCCTATTAATCAACCTTATATTATGTAAATGAGACCAGGGGAAAACTTAAACAGATAATAAACTGTTATGCTAAATTGATGTTATTCTCTAGAGGTTTTAATATCAGTTTGATGATATTATTACAAAATACTGACACATATACCTACTTGCTTGGTTCTTACACTATTTAGTACTAAGCATTCACTAAAAAAATATATAGTGTTCTACATACTTTTCAAATATTTCATGTAAAACAGCTACCTACTTACCCTACCTACCTCTTTGGAAATACAAACATTAAATGTAATATATATTATTTGTTATTATATTAGTTATTTATTACATCTAAAATTCAATGGTACTAAAAGAAACACAAAATATGTGTCATTGCAACCAGGCTCAATTGATCAGAATCTGTTAACTGCTTAGGGGTTGTAAAAAGGTTCAAAATGAATGAGCTGTTTTAGTAAGTAAAAGTTGCAGCACTATCAGTTTAAGTACACAATAATAACTCATGTTCATAAGACTCTTAGCAAATAGCAATTACAATAAAAGTTTAATGTGGTTTGATGCCCACCCAGGACAAATATGGTGTGATGAGTATGGGCATTTCTTCTGTGTCTGAGTGTAATTTATCTAAAATATGTAAGTATTTAAAAATATAAAAGTAGGTTTGTCAGTAGTCTGCTTACCATAGCACAGGCTCTGAGTAGGTTGGGATCAGACGGCTGTGTGTGAGATGTGATGTGTGAGGTATACTATTATTAGGTTGGTAAGTAGTTAGGTATAATCACAATATTGATATACATAATATGAATATTGTAATTATACCATAACAATAATATTCTCAATTTAAAGATATGGAAAATAAAATATTAGGTGATATGCCACCCCTCTGTACCTACACTACCCCACTATACTGTAAAGTGTTTTCACGGGTAAGCAGGGGTTAAAAAAGATGATGATAAGATTAGATGACATAACTCTGCACTGAAATTACCTAATTGACAAGGCTAAGCTATTCCATTTCTAGTAGGCCAAAACCTATTTTCTAAGGAGAGGCCTATGTCCAGCAGTGGACTTTTAAAGGCTGTTGATGATGATGATTAAGCTATTCCACTAGAAAAGTAAACCTATATTTCACAAGTCATTTTTGACATAGTAGATAAAAATACTATTTTGTGGGTTTGTGAGTATTTAAATTATTTCCTGTCAGTTAGATATACATTGCATAGGAAGTGTGGAACACCAGCACAGGTTGTCTACATCAAATATTAAATAGGCGACTGCCTGAAAAACAGGACACACCTAGCTCAGGCTGATTGCATAAGCATTTGTAATATTTTTATTTTATTACCCAACTGCCAAGGAAGGGTTACGTTTTTCGCGCATATCTTGTATGTTTGTATGCATGTAATATTCTTTATTACATCATATCTTCCAAACCGCTGCACAAATTTATTTAATTAACATATCGTTAGATTCATCTTGGTAACCTAAGTGTTTGTATACTACATGACAACTGTGAGACGCAATAGTTTAAAGTAAAAAGAATTATATTTTTGGATACTGCAATATGGGTATCCAATTAAATTGCTTATCATGAGGATTTTAATTCTATTAATTTAAAAATTATGTTATTAGTGCATTACTTTGAAGTTGTCAGGTCGGGTTTTTGACTTTTAATTTTCTATTCACTCTTGCACATTTTAGAAAAGTCATATACTAGTTTTATGTTAGCTTTACTAACAAACTTTATATAAGAATCTAATGACAATGAGATGTTAATCATATACAAAATTTAACTAAGACCTTATTCTTCTTCTGCAAAGATAATTTATTTATTTCATTGAAAACATCTTTATAAAACTAGTATGGAGGTGTTACCAAAAGCGTCAATATGTATTTTGCTTGTTTACCACTTTAGTATTTAAAACATTCACGTTAACCTTTCGGAAATAGATGTACATTATACAATGCTTAATGAATATGATCACGTATATGAAATTGTATCACTTTTTTTCTGACTTTAACTGATATTTTATTTAAAATCGTCTGTTGTCAATGACCCCTTTGCTGAATAGTAATGCATTGCACATTGCAAATGCACTTTGATACAACATTGCGTAATGTGTTAGTATATTGTTAGTAATAAGTATATCACCTTGGTTGTGTATAATTACTGTCGCGTAGCGGCCGTCACTATGCCGGTTGTCGACATTGGTAATTTGTAGATTCGTATTTGTAGACTATGAATTTGAGTGACGATATTGAATGGATAAGCTAGACTTTATTTGTTTATGAAAAGTAAGATGGGGAATAACAGATTTGACCTTTGACCTTGACATTTTTTTATTTTGAAGTAAACAACAATATAACTTTGCCTCCAGGTCCCTTATTAGCCTTAGCCATTGCTAGGGCGAAATCGGAGCACATTAGCCGGATCGGTGAGAGACTAGTGAGACTTCAGTAAGGTCGTTGTCGACGGTGCATGCTCCGACTTGTTATGAATTCCGAATTGCTCCGAATTCGTAAATGCGGGACACCAGCACCACCACAAGGCTGTGTGCTAATACCCACACTGTTTCTTCTGCATATCAATGACATGTTGCAAACTATTATAGTAGCATCCATTGCTATGCAGATGATAGCACAGGAGACGCCCTTTATACCGGCCGCCCCAACATTTCTCGGGAAAGCGTAATCAAGAGTCGTAATAAACTTGTGTCTGAAATTGAAACTTCCTTAGCGGAGATTTCAGATTGGGGCCGACTAAATCTAGTCCATTTTAACCCAAAAAAGACAGGTTTGCGCGTTCACCGCAAAAAAGATATCATTTGTCGTATCAGTTCAGTTTGAGAGTACCTCCCTAACTGCCTCAGCCAGCATCAGAATCCTAGGCATCGACATATCGAGCGAAGTCCAGTTTCGGCGTCACTTAGAAGGTAAGGTCAAACTAGCCTCGAAGAAGCTCGGTGTGCTGAACAGGTCGAGGCAGTATTTCACTCCGGCCCACCGCCTTCAGTTCTATAAGGCGCAAGTCCGGCCGCATATGGAATACTGTTCTCATCTCTATGCAGGGGCACCTCCAGTACCAGCTTCTCCCTCTGGACCGCATCCAACGAAGAGCAACTCGAATCGTCGATAGCCAAAAGATTTGCGATCGGCTCGATTCGTTGGCGTTACGTAGAGATGTAGCTTCACTCTGCATTCTCTATCGCATATATCATGGAGAGTGCTCCGAGGAATTGTTCGGACTAATACCAGCCGCAAAATTCCGCCATCGTTCCACACGTCAAAATTTTCATCCTTATTACATGGATAATTGGCGCTCCACTACTGTGCGCTTTTCGAGACACTTTTTGCCCCGCACAACCAATCTGTGGAACGGGTTATCGTCTGCGGTATTTCCGGACCGATACGACCTTCAAACCTTCAAGAAAAGAGCGTACTCCTTCCTAAAAGGCCGGCAACGCGACTTCTGAGTTGCAGACGTTCATGGGCGGCGATGGTCACTTTCCATCAGATGACCCATCTGCTTGTCTGCCCCCTCTAACATAAAAAAAAAGAAAATGAAATCTACTTTAAATGTCTACATAAGTATTCGTGCCTTTATTTTTCACATTTCATAAAAAATCATAATACGTCTAAGCGTCAGATTTAAAATACGCTTCAAAATTATCCTCAAATTTTTAGCTAGTATGAGAGGAACATCAAGTTGAACCTGTTTGTATAAAATCTAACACGCTCGGGTATATTGAAATAGCGATTTTTCAAATTTGCAGTTTGCATTTTCGATAATTCGCAACGAGCTTGTGTCACTTTAAAATCGTCAGAGCTTTCAATGTGAGAAGGAGAGAAGCTTTTTGGCGCCAAAATAACATATCCCCAAAATATCTGATGCCCCCCAAAATTTTTTTTTCCATTTTTCCCCTTACATTTTTGAAAACCTGTAGAAGCTTTCCCCGCCGCTGAAAGTAGATACATTATATAACTTTTAAATGCAATAGGCTTTCTAAGGTCCCTTTATAACAAAATCGGGAATTCCAATTTTGTTTAAGGTCACTTTACTTTTAAGGGTGGTAGATAATCGCGATCTGAATATAATAATATAAAACCATATCGCCAGATAAAACAAAGAAACAAAATGCTTTTATCGAACGAATAGCCACTAGAAGTTAATACATACTTTAGTTTACTCCGCACTTTTTTTGCCGTAGTTGTTAAAACTAAACCGGTAATGCAATCAGGTCGCAGTGTAATTGGAGTTCACTGGCCTTTGGAGATTCGTCTCGGACGTCTTCTAATCAATTGACTTTATATTGTCTTGATCATCTTCGAGTAAGATCAATTCACCATATATGACCATGACCTCACATAGCGTAGTGTTGGACGTACAAAAGGTCAATAGTTGTAAGCCTCAAAAAATGCTTTTTTCCTTTCAATATAAGTTGTATGCTGCGTCTTTTACTCAATAAATTTTGTGTCTTGATAGTTCTGTTTCAAACATACTTAATCGCATACACCACTACTATCACGTCTACATCTTCACGTGGAAGACAAGATTCGGCAAGTATGGGCTAGGCTCGTCCTTCTTTTATTGCTTTTCACCGTGGGAGTGAGGTTACTGGAGATCAACCAGACCTCCCCTTTTCGTTGCGGGATCCAATAAAACTGTCTTGTTTTATTGTTTTCCTGGAGGTCAGAACTCGGTGTGTTCGTAGGTCATTGCCTGTTTATCCTGGTGTAGTCCAGTTACAGTGGGAGGCTGGCGTGTGGGAGGCACTAGTCCCATTTAAAAAAAAGACTTCTCACTCCCCAGTTAGGTTAGGTGGGGTCAAAAACGCACTTGTGACCCTTGAATTGCATATGTCCATGGGCAGCGGTAGTCACTTAACATCATGTGATCCATCTGCTCGTGTGCCTTCATATACCTAGAACAAAATGCAAGAGTAGAGGTACACACAGCATCGCATATATGCACCTAAAAAGTGTTGTTACAGGGTGGAAAAGCGTGCTTACGTAAGACACCTTGCCGGCTTCCATGTGAGTTTCAATCTGCGCAGTATAATCTTGTCTATAAAATGATTTTAATTCAACATGCCAGGTTAATTGTAAAATGCGTAGTAAGGCTTGCCATAGATTTGGGCTTTTGGCACGATATTTTTGTTTTAGAGTTACTTTCTGTATTTAAAACTAATACCTCTACTAATGGAGCTGATTATTTTACCAACATTGGTAGCTACATCGTATGGTCTCTATAAAACCTGGTGGAACTTTTTACAGTTAAAATATGGTTGTGCATTGTATGTGTATTGAATGTTGATATACTCCTTATAAAAAGAAACTAAGTCTCTATTTTGCCACCTACTTATTTTGCAATTCACGTGGAAAAGTAACAAACATACTAACTTGCACACTCTGACAGTGCCCTAGACTGCACGGATGTCGTAGTGGTTTGAGCGGTCGCCACGCACAATTTATGTGTGTAACACAAATTGTTGTCCTGAATCTGGATGTTCTTTGTGTCCATTTCATGTATGGTTGTAAAGTCCCCTGCGGTACAGGATATATATTCCTAATGTGTAAAACACATACATTTATGCACTTTCGTAAGAATTTAAGTATAAAGTTTAAAACATTAATTATACCCGCACTACAGATCAACAGCCTATTTCTAACCCTTTTGGTTACCATATCTTAAATAAGTGCCAGTCTTTCTATGTCAAGGTGGCCGTGACGTGTCTAAATCGTAACTCAGACAAACTGCATTGCAATGACTCACGATCACAACTACCACAGTCATAATCCAATTCAGTTACATACATTCGGATCATTTTGACTCAATAACATACAAGGTTTCGGTCACAGTCACATGGCTGATCACATGTTTACTATGATCTTCGTATGTATGGTATCACCTCGTGTTGTCAAAATTAGAAAATATCGGAACCACGTTTTTAAGTTAATCCTGTTAAGTTTACTGATGAATGAAGCCATGAACATCGTCTGCCACGCGACTTGAAACGCAGAGTACAGTCACCTGTGTATAGATATTAAAAACTAATACCTCTGCCAATGAAGCTGATTATTACTGATATAATACTGAAATTGTTTTACATTTTGTTCGAAATATTTTATTAACGTGCCTCAGAGAGCACGTTAAGCCGTTGGTCCCGGTTGTCATATAAACATCTGTGGCAATCGTTACGGGTCGTTGGAGCCCTAAATAGTGCGACAACAGTCTATCCACAGAAGTTCGACATCGTCTGGTACCTGAGTTGTGAAGGTCTTATGGTAGTCCCGCCACGTAAAAAATCAAAGTTCAGCCATGTCATAGTAGACTGCTGGCCCAACCAAGTTTGGGCAAAGGCTTGGAGGATGATGATCGGTAAATCGTACCGTATATTTTTCAAGAGCTTTCTTATTACTCTTTATTCATGTAAAAATATAATTGTTGATTGATCCAATTTTCGTTCTATCATAATAAAATAAGTTTAGTCTTATGTTTTCGGAATTCGCAATTGCATGACAAAATATATTTTTTGCGATTTTTCAGTTTAAAGTGATTTGTAAGAATAAGAATTTGCAATAAAATTCGTAAAAAGCGCCAAATTTACTTTATCTTAGATTAGATAAAATATAATGATAAAAATAACTAATATTAAAACATTCCTTCCTTTTCTTTTTAGTTGTTCAACATCATTTTTCGTATTTATATACAAATATGCAATGAACGCGTATTTCAAAGACTAATAATGCTCCGTATCAGCTATTATTATATTATCCTTATAAAATGCCGCAATAACGATAGGAGACGTAATTATTACAGTGCGAGTCTACGCAAATATTGTTGCAGTTTTAGCAGTAAATTGAAATCATCTTCACTAACTTTATAATAGATTGAACTTTTGTAACATTTTTGTATCAAAGACAAAAAAAATGTAATGGTTGAGAAATATTCTTAAAACTCCATATAAAATTAATGGCAAAGATAAATTTGATTATGTAATATTAGTATCGATAATAATATTTTAATCTTCGACGTGAACACTGATAAAATTATGCACTGTGAATACGAGACGTTCCTTTTTAATCACGGCCCTTTTTTTTCTGTTCGGAACTCCCCTTGAATATTCCATCATTGGGGTGGTTATGCCGAACTCGAACCGGCCACAAACCGCTCGCTGTCTCCAGGTACCAGTAGCCGGGAAACCTCGAAAGGAAAGCCCTGGTACCGCGACTTACCTCGGGCCATCCACGGTTTATAGATGACTCTCCGAGAATAAATAACCGTAGGAGAGCCATTATTTGGCAAATGTGGGCTTGATCGGCTCGACCTGAATGAACTACAGCCTCACAGGAAACCGGGGTTTAAAGCTATTCTTTCCTCGCTTTTCGCCAACCAGTAACCTTAATTCTAGGGAGGTTCACAAAGTGTGACAAACGCACTTTATCTTTTGAATTACAAGTGTGTTTTATTTATTTCATTACGACTGTAGTCACTTAGGTTACCCGTCTGCTTGTTTGCCACTATCCATACAAATATTATAAATACGAAAGTGTGTATGTCTATCTGTCTGTTACCTCTTTACGCTTAAACCGCTGAACCGGTTTAAATGAAATGTGATATAGAGATAGTCCGAGTCCCGGGCAAGGACATAGGGTGGTTTTAATCCCAGAAGTCATACTTAAAGTTGGTGAAAAGGGAGGTGGAAGTTTGTATGGGGAATCAAGAACTGCTGAACCGATTTAGGTGAAATTTGGTTAGAGATACTTTGATTCTTAAGAAAAGACATGTGCTACTTTTTATTACACATCATGATACATCATATGAATATTTTCGTGCAAAATGTGTAGCAATATTCCAGAGATCAATGCAGTTATATCTTCATACTGATGTTGCTACTGCTTTTTAGCTCCGATTTAGTCACTCAAATATGATACGCAATGTAAAGATTAGATCATAACGGTTTTCTCACCATTATTAAGCGTATCTCAACTCATTTTAAAGACCGAGTTGTATTTTTTTTAGAAGATTTACTTGCAGCAATAAACATCATTTAATTTTTTGCGATATTTGATCAATATTACTTTAAAATAAAATGTTTTGGACTTACGCATAAAATTATATTCCTTACTTTGGCACTGAAATCCTGACTTTATTTTTGACTTTATTGAGTAACTTTGCATAAATATTTTTCATTCTTGCGTTTTCTGGCAAAACTACATATTATACCTACGCGAATACTATACATATAATATATTAAAACAATTTGTGTTACTAACTTTAAGTAGGTTATGGACTCGTTCAAATTATACATCTGGCGAAATGAAGCATTTCTGCCTTCTTTTTCAGGACATATCTAGGTGAAATATTCGTGAAAAATCATTAATGTGCGGTTTTTTGTAGGTCTGGAAGCGGCACTGGTATTTGTCGAAAACTGCGGGCATGCTGGCAAGACGACAGGTGAAGTTATGTCCGGTATCGTTGCAAAATGTATCGCGGCCCCCAGAACCAAGACTAAAGACCTCGCTCTACAGGTACATATTAATAATTCAATTATTATGTTATATATTTGACTATAAATCTTGAAAAAATGTCCTGCAGTGGACTATTAAAAGCTGTTGATGATGATGAAATCTTGAAGTTAATTATGAATGTTTAGCTTGTCGTGTTATCGAGAAAGCTTGATGAAAAAGTTTGAAGTATCTTATTTCTAAGGTTGGCTAAAGCATTCTAATAGAATGTGAAAAAATCTGAAAAAGATAGTATTAGATGACAATAAAAACTTAAAAATTATTAATTATGCTTAAGGTACATTTATAAAAATTTTATCTTCTCATACTTCAATACCTCCTTACCCATCACTCTAATACTATGCAGTTAAGGATACCATAACGTTGTCGTAATTTTGTAATGCTTCTTAGTATATGAGAATGCAGAAAAGAAATAAACAATAAAACTAAACCGTGTTCTCATCCTTTTAAAAAAAAAGGAAAGAAAAAGTCAATCTTCTTTCACATCCCCCGAAAGAATAAATTCAAGGTAAAATAAAACTAAATATCCACAACATTTACTTTTCCTCGTAGGCTACTCGGTATGCGATGCCTCAGGCATTTGTCGTCACCAGTCCCCACACATGCTAAGATTTATTTACCTTTACTTCAACACGACCGTTGAATACCTAAGACCATTTTTTAAAATGTCCATATTTGAATAAGACATAACACAAGCGAGAAACAACTGTAGGTAGTTTATAACGGTATGCCAAGCCTTGTTTTAGACTGGCTTGTTATTTTTCTTGATCTGCAAGATTATTTGATTAGAAAACCTAAGTTCAATCATAGAAATATTAAGAATCTAACTAAAATTCTAGAAAACTTTCCAGATGATTGAGAAGACGTTCAAAATAAATTATATAGGTAAAACAACTTTCAACGATTTCAATAACCGCCAAATTAACTTTGAAAGTGCATAATGATAAGAAAACAACAAGTGACCTTAATTCTTAGTATTTCATACAAAACTAACTTGACGGTCGTCTACCCTATTAATAACCATGTTCAATTAAAGAATTGCCGTGTTGTGGTTTATCTGACCCCGTTACTTCGACAGAAAGCAATGACTAGACAAATCTTCCATGAACTTCCATTGTGTCATTACCCGGCCCCAAAATGAACAAAGCGTTTGTTTTGCAGAATATAATAATGACGGTAATGCAAAAATAATTGTATTAATGCAACTATAAGGAAAACCTATTGAGGGTTTTGCTTTAAATACGTGGAAAAGTCCAAAGCCAGAGATGCCCTAATTCTTGCTAGCCTTACGTGCGATATACCTAAGTAGCTGGCCATCCTGGTTCCTCAGTTGAAGCAGGCAATGAGACCAAACATTCCTTTTACGGGTTAAGGCCGGCCACATACGCTACGGTTTACCGGAGAGGCCGATATCTGTGCTGGTTTGTCTGTGCAAGCTGAGTCGAAGTGTAAGAGAGGTTGTTCCACCAGTTCGTTTCGCTTTAGTATCAATAGAAGGCTACCACGTCGCACTGGCGTTGATAGGTTTTGCGATAATTTTAAAGAATAAAGTAACAGCGACAAAGAAATGATCAAAGTGATGTAAATATTGGTTATTGCAAAGAAATACTTAGTCACGTGAATTTATTGAAAGAATTCACATTCGATTCATCAGACACTTTTTTTATTGACGTGTATTAACTTTCACCTACATTTGTTAAACATTTTTGTACGTATAAACTTTGTCCTTACAAACAAAAATATAAAAAAAGAATTTTGCAGAGGTTTAATAGTTCAACAATGAATCGCTAACATACATTTTGCAATTGAGTTTTATTTACGAGTGTAGATAGATATAACGGGAAAGGAGACTTTGCACTGACTTGATTCAAGTTTTCAGACATGGTTACGCCACTCGACTTTTCAAACCGATTAAAACTGGTTTTGGGCATGAACCGAGTTGAATCGGTTTGCCCGTGGTTTTAACCGGTTGAGCCGTATCATAAGATCGCGCTGCACTTATCGTCTTACTATCGCGCTCGCTGCTCCTGCTTTATGTAACGAACAAAACCGATTTATAGAGTCGACGCGACGCGACAGTAAATGTTTTACAATTTACCTACAAGCACAAACTATATTATTATGTTCCTACAAAATCTGCTAACGGTTAGCGCGCGTCGTTCAAGAATTATCTAATACATAAACCGATTTACAAACCGTTCGGATCTAACGGACATATTTTTCTTATATCCACCAAATGAGAAAAAAAAAGGCATGGTAATCGTGTTACTTCACTGGGTAGTTTGTTGTATTGCCATTAGCTGTAAACAAACTACCAATCAATTCATACCGTCGCCGCGTTAGTATAGGCAATGTCAAGTTTTACACTTGTATGTAAACTCGGTTGCGAAGCGTTGGCAAACCGTAAAAGGATTGTTTAATCGATCCCGTAGAATCATGTTGCACATTGCTTTCGTATGTTACATTCGTCCATCAACTCGTTTTACGGTTCAAGTCGCGGTTTACTGCAATTTCAACGGTTCGGCTCGGAACCGATTCGCACGAATTGTCTAACCGATTCGCACGAATTGTCTAACCGATTCAACTCGATTTGACAAAATTCCATCCCGTAACATTAGAGATGTTGATAGTTGATTCGTCCAAGCTCTGGATCTTCGGGTTTTTTTATTATATTTGTTTTGAAGCTATCTTAATTGAGGTTGAGTGGAGGGAGTATAATACAAGCTGTTGTTGATTTGACATAACTTTTATTAATAAATTCGGCGCTATAACTTAGCCTTGATTAAGCCGCCTCCTCCTCTCAAAACACAAAAAAAAAAAACACTTTTTCACGTAAGACTCAGACCTTACTAACAAAGTAAATATAATTAAACTACAAATTATTTCCAGATTACACTGATGTACATAGAAATAGAAAAACATGAAATAGTTGAAGAGGAACTGCTTAAAGGGATGGAGCAAAAGAATCCTAAAGTGGTGGCGGCTTGCGTCAGCGCCCTCAATACGTCCTTGAAACAATTCGGCAACAAAGTGATCGCCATCAAACCTATGGTGAAGAAGATACCAGTGCTCTTGGCTGATAGAGATAAGGCTGTTAGGGACGAAATGAAAGCCCTCGTCATTGAAATGCACAGGTACGCCACTTCTCTATGAGACACAGAATCTAGCAACTAGGAACTTCTTCGTCACAAATAAATTAGTAAGACTACACGACGCGAAGCGTTAGGAAATTTGCGTAATGCGGGAAGTATTCAGAATTACTGTTAATAGATTTGAATTTAACAAAAAATAGATCACCAATGACCCTGAAGAATAAACGGGATATTTATATATGTTTATTTTTCAGTGCCGACATCTCAGAAACTAGTTCCCGAAAACAAACATTGCAAATATCCTGTTTAGCATAACTTATCAAGTGAAAATGACAATAGTAGTTTAAATCAATACATGATAACATCTATGCTTCTAGACTGCACAATATGATACAAGGAGTTAACTAAAATATCTGCATATAAGCGTTGAGAACACTAGTCTATACCAGGGATTACCAAACTATTTTGGGCAATAGACCCCTTTTCAGAAATGAACGATACCTCAGACCCCCATAGACAGATTATGATTAGTCATTCTTATAACAAGTCTAACACAATTAATACTGTATCTTAAAAGTCTCTATGTAGGTAATTATTCTATAGAACTGAAATAATTTGTGTTGATCCAGATGTTGCCAAATTACGTAATTTTCATTGTTTCAAGTAATTCACAACGCTAATAACTAGTTTACTTTTTCCGCCAATAGTTTGTTGTTGTTTTTTTCTATTGTCTAGATAATTGCTTTAACAAATGAAAATATATGAAGGTTCTTTTGCTGCTTTTTTACTTTGAAAGATGCGATGTATTACTACTGTTATTTTGTAAATACATCTTTGAATTAGATCGAGAGCATCGCGTCTATTTTTTTAAATGATAACTTTCTTGATGTTTTAAAATTGTTCAATACTTCGCTTCTAGAGATTTTAAACTACAACTTCATGTGCCAGTCTACTATTTAAAAAACTATAGATGATCTAAATCCTGGCAATACTGCTAAATGCTCTCAACGATGAGGGTTGATGTCTCTGACCCTCACTTACGAACTTGGACACTTTCTACACCTACTTCAAATAGCTTTATTTGGATGCTCATCTTTGGTTCTAACTGTTGTGGATAAGATATGCCATTTACAATTATTTGCGTGATACACACATTTTTTTATCAAATCATTTGTGATGATTTGTTAATAATATGTTTGTAAAAACCATGCAAAGAGATCCATTTCCGCTAACTGAATCTTTTTTAGACATACATATTTACTGCTACAAATATACGACTACAGCATCTATCCTGTTTACCCAGGTGGATAGGCGCCGCTATCGAACCACACATAGCATCTCTCCAAGCAGTTGTGCAGCAAGAACTAAGAGAATCATTCGGCGGTAGTGGAGGAGCACAACCCACGCGCTACTTACGGTCCCAGCAGAACCGAGTCCGGGATACACCAGCTGCTGATTGTGCTGATGGTAAGTCTTTTCTCTTGTTACAAACGCCCTTTTGTTCTTGATTGTAGAGAATCATACGAAATATCCAGCCAAGTAATGAACTTTGTCACGTTTTGGTTGATCAATGTATTGGACTCGAACCGAATTAATTGAAATATTAATAGTAATATATTTTTTTCGTTAAAATATATAATTTTAAGTTTTACGCCAGTTGTACGTTACTTTTAAGATTATTTCAATATAATAAAGAGCGTATCTAACTATCTAATAAATAGTCCAGCCAACTACAGTCGTTAGTACTTATATTTCAGTCTACGATTATAAATAATATCTACTCTAATACAAATATTCATAATTAAAGTCTCGAGGTTATATAGGTATATGTAAACAGATAAAAATTTGAAGGTGCTGGTGAGGATGACGACGCTGAAACTGGCGGCGGCGATTCAGGCGATATGGATCCATACGATCTACTTGACCCAGTCGAAATATTATCAAAACTGCCTAAAGATTTTTATGAAAAACTCGAAGCCAAGAAATGGCAGGAGAGGAAAGAAGCCCTTGATGCCTTGGAGGCTCTTTTGAAGACGGCACCCCGACTTGAACCGGGCGATTATGCTGATTTAGTTAGAGCCTTGAAAAAGGTAACTGCTTTAATATATAATATAAAATCTACAATAGACAGATATGATACGGTTTTAGAGCGTATCATCCTAAGTCTTTTAAAATCTTATATTGAAATATCCCTTTCCACTTAATATTATAAAGCTGAAGAAATTGTTTGTTTGGTTAAACGCGTCAATCTCAGGAACTTGATTTAAAAACTTTTAATTGATGGATTGTATGGACCCTTTTATCTAGTAAGGCTATATAACATCACGCTACGACCAATAGGAGCCAAGTATCAATGAAAAATTTTGCAGAAATTTAGTCCTTTTGAGCGACGCAGAGGAAGAACCACGTGAGCTAGTTATTTTCTTTCATCTCCTTTGCAGTCACTTCTTTACCTGTGTAATATTATAAACTACTGACTGCGTACTGCGACTGATGGCGTAGTGGTTTAAGCGGTTGCCATGGCGCTTCCTCCTACGCTGAGTGTTGTGGGTTCGCCCACATGGGACGACACTTTCTGTGATCCACAAATTGTTGTTCTGAGTGTGGGTGTTCTTTGTGTCCGTTTCATGTATGTTTGTTAGCCCCCCGCGACACAGGATATGTTCCTAATGCGGAAGTTGTCTTTAAAAAAAAACAATATTTTCAAAAACAAGAAACGAAATCATCCACAATCAGCTATTGTAAATGTTTATAGAATGAAATGATTTATATTTCAGGTGATAACAAAAGACACAAATGTGATGCTAGTCGCACTGAGTGTCCGTCTCACGGGTATGATCGCGACCGGGCTCCGCAACAAGTTCACGCCCTACGCCACCGCGTGTGTGCAGGCAATACTTGAAAAGTTCAAGGAGAAGAAGACCAATGTAGTTGTTGCATTGAGAGAGGCGATCGACGCGATATATCCTTGTGTAAGTATATTTAATGTTATAAGTATGTAGAGGAGCGCTCATCCTCCGTGAAGACTTAGTTAGACCGGTGACATTCGTTTTCCCAGATACGATATATAGATACTGCTAATAATTATACGTTTTCTATTCTAGACGAATCTAGAAGCAATAATGGAGGATATGCTTGCGGCTTTCGATAATAAGAACCCCTCAATAAAGGCCGAGAGCGCGCTGTTCTTAGCTCGCGCCCTGTGCCACACGCAGCCCGCCGCGTTCAACAAGAAACTGATCAAAGCCTATGTAGCTGGCTTGTTGAAACTCATTGAAAGCGCTGGTATGTTACATTATCTTTTAACAAATTCTTTTTTCTAAAAGAACTTCAGCACTCCCGGACTCTTATCAATGTAATAAATTAAATATATTTTTATTGTTTTAGTTATAATTTGATTGTTATAATTTTAGCCTACTTATAATTGTTATATCAAAATGTATCTTTGTAAATATTGGTATGTAAATCTACGGTTTTAAATGGCACATCTTCTTATGGCTTCTGGCATATATAACAGAATTAACTGTTATTCTTCTCAATCTATAAATTAAATTCTATTAGTATTTAGTCAAGCTATCATACTCACTTCAGACATAACGGTAGAGGAACGAAGTTTCTCTTCAAGATTACGGCCTTCCATCACGATTATAAATTATCTGAGTTGTATGTGGGAGATTCGATGTATCTGACAGTGTTCTTTGTGTTTTTCCTCCGTGTCTTCTGTTCTCTTTTATACTTTACTAGCTGGTACCCGCGGCGGAAAAGCGCTGCCTTAGTGGCTGTCTATGAGACCTCGGGTTAGATTCCCAGAAGGAGCAAAATTTTATAGGGTTTTTCTGAGAGGAAAAATAGCCTAAGCTACTCCTAATACTCGTATAGACAGCCATATGGTAATAAAATCTTATCAATATCGGTTTAGCCGTTTTGAAGATTACCCGCAACAAACAAACAGACAGACAGATAGACGAAAAATATTTAAACTCGTTTTTAGACATAGGTATCGTGGTTTTAACTGCAACGAGCATGAGAAAAAACCTATTGTTTGGATATTACAAACAGACACTGCAATTTTATTTATTTGTATAGATTATATTACTATTGTATTAGAGTGAGTAAATAAGCATTTCTCCTGCAACTTGTACTATTCATTTCATCCCTTCCTTCTACCCATCTACATAACAAAATATGTCATAGGTATTTTATACCAAAGTATGCCCTATGGTTGTTATTAACCATGTACTAACGTAACTTACATTTTTAGAACCCACAGTACGTGACGCGGCTGCAGAAGCATTGGGCACAGCTACTAAACTAGTGGGTGAGAAGAATATTGCACCACACATTGGTAAACTGGATAATTTGAAGGAACAAAAGATTAAGGAGTTTGCTGAAAAGGTATGTATAAATTGTATTCTTCTAGTAGTAGAAAACATTAGGTTACAGATTTTTATAAGCCTTTTTAATACAGCTAAGATGGGTAATGTAAATAAATTGCAATTGATTTCAAAACTTTATTAGCTTCACTTGTAACTAACCAATGAACTATCAATTTCTACTTTTTATTTATGTCTACGAATAGTCTTTCTTTATAATCCATTAAAAAAAAGTCAAACCTTAAGTACAAAATCAGTTAGACACTAATTATTAAATAAATCTAAAATGTATTTGTTTATTTTCAGGCTGTAATCCATGTCAAAATAGCAGCTCCTAAGAAAGAAACTAAAGGAAAACCAACAGCTGCACCATCAGGCAAAGGTGATGCCAGATCAACAGCTGGCTCCGTTACAGCAAAACCTGTCAAACGACCTGCTTGTAAGTATGAATGCACTCTGGATGCTTTTTTTTATATCGTCAAGCTGGAAAAAAATGACCAGCCTGCCTCAGGGTTGGTCCGTCCTTTTAACTTGCTATACCAATGATGTCTAATACTTTTAATCAATCTTTTTATGGAGCCTTGGCGCCCTTATTTAACAAAGAAATAAACCACGATTTTCTGTAAGGTGGTAATGTTATATACTTGGGTTGTAAATTAGTTGATACTGGGTTAATGTGACTGCATTCATACTTACAAAAACAAGTAATTAATTTTGTTATACTAGTTAGTACAAGTTGATAGTCGAAGAGTAGTACAGTAGTCTTCCAATCAAAGCAGAGGAGGAGGTTATCCAATTAGAGCAAAAATCCCTATATAGCTTAACTTTTCACTATTCTAAATTATTAGAAAAAGTTTTAGTAGACATGTAGTCGATGTAGTCACATACAGATCAGCCATAACCTTGAGCCGTTATTTTACCACCGCTGCTAATTTACGCGATTAGATGTATAGGAAAAATATTGCTCACGTGTAACACTGTAAGTTAATAGTTAGTTTAAGGACTTTATCAAACATCCAGAACCTTAAACTTTCATCCACATTTTTCTACTATTTATTTAATAGAACTTAGTTCAAGGTTATCCCTATCTATATAAATATATAAGAGATTTCCACGTATATAGTCACTCATCACGATATCTCTGGAACCATTAGAGCTAAAGACTTGAAATTTTCTAGGAATATTCTTTTCACCGAGTAGAGGTCAGCTAAGAACGGATTTCAAGAAATTCAAAAAATAAAAATAATTTTAAATAATGTAAATAGCAAAACAACGTTTGCAGGGTCAGTTAGTCTATGAGGAACATGTTATATTTTTTAGAAAAATGAGAGTATGTTGAGAATTTTCTCTAACTTTTTTTGAAAGATGTGGCAATAAGTTAGTATATTGGCGGTATTTGTTGTGCAGCGAAGTCAGGTCCGGCGAAGAAGGCGGGCGCGGCGCGAGGCGCGAGCGGGCCGCCGCGCGAGGCCGAGCTGTCGCCCGAGGAGGTCGACGCGCGCGCCGAGCTGCTGCTGGCGCCAGACGTGTTCAACGGTACTCTACTTTATACTCATAATTACGAGGGTGCCTTTTTAAGTTCGCGGAATGAGAGGGTTAGAGGGGGGGTGATTAGGCTCATTAGAATCGTCACGTGTTCAGTGACTCATAATTAGTATAAATACCAGGTTTCATTGTTATTAGACAATTAGTCTTTGAGTTATCGTCAACCAAGCAACATAATAGTGAAAAGTGAAACATGGGAAAAATCGAATATCGTGCCGTTATAAAGTTCCTTACCGAGCAAGGAAAATCAGTTGCGACCATAATGAATGAGATGTCATTGGTTTACGGCGACTCTTGTCCAGGAAAAACCATGGTGTACAAATGGCGCAGTTTATTTAAACAAGGAAGGAAATCCCTCGAAGACGACCTGAGGCCTGGCAGGAGCATCGAGGTGATCACGCCAGAAATTATCCAAAAAGTCGAAAAAATTGTACTCGACGATGCTCGACTAAAGAAGAAATGGTGGAACTCGCAGAAATGGTTGGAGTATCTGATACAACCATTTTTAGAATTCTGCACGATCATTTTGGCATGACAAAGGTCAGTGCAAGATGGGTGCCGAGAATGCTCACGCCGACGCAAAAACAACAGCGCGTAGAGTGTTCACGTGCATTTTTAAACCTTTGTAATGAAGACAAGGATGCTGTATTGAGTAGAATTGTTACTGGAGACGAAACTTGGGTTCATCATTATGAACCTGAGTCGAAACAAGACTCCATGCAGTGGCATAAAAAGGGCACAGCACCTCCCAAGAAGTTTAAGGTGTCACAGTCAGCAGAGAAACTCATGGCAACGGTCTTTTGGGACTCAGAAGGAATATTATTGATCGATTATAAAGATAAAGGTGTTTCTTTAATCGGAGAATACTACGCTTCAATATTAGAGCGACTCAAAGAAGCCATTAAAGAGAAAAGACGGGGAAAATTGACAAAAGGTGTGTTGCTTTTGCACGACAACGCGCCCGTCCACAAGAGCCGCGTTGCGTTGGCTGCCCTGCATAAGGTGGGCTTGGATATTTTGAATCACCCACCCTACAGACCCAGGGCCCAGACCTGGCCCCCAGCGATTATTACCTGTTTCCAAAAATGAAAAAAGAGCTGCGTGGTAAAAAATTTACTAACGATGATGAAGTCAAGGAGGCAGTTTCGGCGTATTTTGAAGACAAAGAGAAAACATTTTTTTATGAGGGTATAAACAAATTAATTGAAAGATCTGAAAAATGTATCCGTCTTGCAGGTGAATATATTGAAAAGGAAAAATAATTGTTTTTTTTTATTTTCACCCCTTATCCCCCATTCCACGAACATAAAAACGCTCCCTCGTATGTGTATGTACAGTGCACCCACATATGGAAATTACGAAAAAAATAAGAGGTGCCACCTTCATGTTTCAGATATTATTTAGTCATAGAAGTTATATGCTAATGCTAATTTAAAATAAATAACGAAATTTTATTTGTGAATATATTGTACGTAAACACTTTTCAGACAATGCGTGGTGGTTGGTGATGGTTTTCCAGAAAAACATTACTATTTATATTATAGAAAATATTTTTAAGCTATTGCATAGCTTCTATCGCGGGCCTTGAGCGTGGAGACCGAATCCAGAAATTCCGTAACGAAAATAACCTAACACCCCCCACTCCGACACAGCGGTGATACTTTTTAGTTTTGCCATCTATCGATGAATAGCAGAACTTTAACTTAAATTAATTGAGTTCCCTTCAAAATACCTCCCCCTCCCTCCCCTCAACTTTTTTGGAGTATTTGGACCCCCATGTTTGGGATCGTCTGAACCGGGAAAAGGAGACGAACAATCTGGTCCCTAACATGTAACATTACTTCAGTTCTTCTAGAGGGCCGAGGGGGGGGGGGGGGGATTTTCGAGGGATGACTTATTTTTTATGATTGCATTGAGGTCCCCACAAAATACCTCCCCTCTCAACTTTTTTCACTAATCCCCCATAATGGAATAGAAAAAACTTGAAATAATATCAAAGAAAAAAAAATACTGCTTAAATAAAAAATAAATAAAAAAATATTGCCACACGTTTATTTACTACATTTTAGGGCTCGAGTAATCAATTTTATTTATATGTTAACTAGTTCGTTAGGTGAAAATGTATCAGATTAGAAGCATATAATAATTAAGCAGTAGAAGGAAAGAATAAACATATTTTTCTAACGTTTGTAACGATTTTTCTCGATTTTGTAAATATTTAAAAAATATGAAACAGTCACTTTTGTTTTAAGTCTTATAAGAGAATGTGAAGCCGCAAAAGATCGCAAGTCGGCTTCATACATGCAGTGTACAATGAGCCAAGAATTACTCTACACAATATAAGTTTATAGCCGTCATTTAATTTTCAAACCTTTTACAGGTCTAGGCGATAGCAACTGGAAAAATCGTCTTTCAGCTGTACAAAGCTTCCACTCGACAGTGCAAGGCCTGACAGCTGCCGATACTACCTCACAAGTATTATATCGTACACTTAACAAGAAACCAGGTCTAAAGGATACCAATGTACAAGTTTTGAAGGCAAGGCTGGAGGCGTGTAAATACATTACAGAGAATTTCCCAGTTTCTACGTAAGTACTGCAGAACCAAGGAATTAATGTTGATATGTTTAAAAAATATTTCTACTGCAATACTGGAAATATTAGTAGAAACAACAGAAAGTATTTTTTATAAAATCTTAGTAATAAATAATAAACAATTCTGTTAGTAAGTGCCAAAACAGCAGAAACAGTCATTAAAATCACAGAACACTGTGTTCGGCGTTGAACTGATTGCTGGACACGATAGTTAACCCGTCTGTTTTTGTCAGTAACTTCAGGAATTCAATTTTCAAAGAAAAACATACTTTCAAGCAAGACGCGTCTAATATACGAATGTTTAAGCTGCGGCCGAGCGAGGTCGAGACTGAACTTTCCTCCCTATTAATGTAACTAACATTAAAAATTACGTTTTCCTTGTACCATTAGCACCGCAGCAGACTTCGTTCTTCAAGACATAGTGACTAAATTAGGCGAGTCGTCATGTTCATCATTATGTGCCGAATGTCTAACGTCCCTAGCTGAAGGATGTGGATTAGAACACGTGCTTAATGAGAGTCTGTCATTCGCGATGGACACACAGAAGAATCCTAAAGTACAGTCGGAGTTGTTCAGCTGGATGGCTAACGCTATCAAGGAGTTTGGTTTTAAGTGAGTATTTGTGTGATCTTTTTAGTAGATCTTCCATCAACATCTTGTTAAAAAGAGCATTACTTCTATTGATTATAACTCTCATCCACCTACACAATTTTTTATGTCATTATTTTTACAGTATGAACGTGAAATCTATTATCGCTCACTGCAAGAAAGCCTTGACAGCTACAAATCCAAACGTTCGCACTTCGGCAGTGAACTTCTTGGGCATACTGTCTCTTTACATTGGTCCGTCACTGATCAACCACTTTGACAGTGAGAAACCAGCCACTAAACAACTGATAAGTCTCGAATTAGACAAATACGCGAACAGCTCTCCACCTACGCCGACGAGGCAAGCTGGAACTGTAAGCAAGGTAATGAAACAAAGTCAAATTTTTCTGGATTTAGGTAGGTTCGGTAGATTGTTTTAAGAGTAGTCCCTTAAAATTATTCCTTATGCTTTTATACCAGAAAAACGCACGTGGTTCTTTTAAGAATCAATAACATGTAAGCAAACATTTCAAATTATTTTGTGAAGTATCAGGTGCTATTAAAAATGTGGATATCTCCTAAAATATGTCAACTCATAGACAAACGCCAAAGTTATGAATGATCACAAGTAGTAGCAATTTAAATTGTAGAATGTTCAGTCAAGTTTTAGAAGTAGGTATACAAAACTTATTCCTTTGGCTATAAAATAACGCGCTATTCGTATGTCGTCTTGATCTCAGTCGGCCAGTAAGGCGTCCGTCGGTGAGGAGATAGAGGAGGCGTTCGAGGACGCGGCCGACGAGGAGCCGCCCGTCGTGGACGACAACCGCCCGCGCACTGACATCGCGCCGCTCATCACTGACTCACTCGTTGCCGAGATGAATGACAAGAACTGGAAGGTAAGAATGTAGCTGAATATGTTCACCTAAAGTCTATTAGAACTAAAGATTATTTAATTAGTAGTACTGTTAAGTCGATTAATATATAATCATAGTGTATGGAATAAAAGTTGATTGGTAAGAAGCTGCAGTTTTGTAATTAAACTGTTTGCTATCAATGCTATGATTCATTTGGTTACACGAAATTGATACATAAAATGTGTGAGTGCGTTATTGTGTATCTTTCAACACGCTATATATTGCCTCAAAAAACGTTGATGAAGAAAATGAAAAATATCAAAGAACTTAACTAAAGTATAGAATATATATATATAGTTATAAAATTTTGCTATAGTTATTTTTATGTAATTTTTGAAGTAGTTTTTAACCCTTCGCCACTTTAGTTGGGTGTTGTAATTCAATATGTTTCATAATCTTAGCATTTTTGTTTCAATAAATATTAATTGCTTTACAGGTTCGTAATGAAGCTTTAGATAAAGTGAAGGCGATTATTACAAACTCAGCTCCGATTAAGCAATCTCTAGGAGAGCTGCCAGCCGCACTAGCGGCCAGACTGTTGGACTCAAACTCCAAGTTGGCTCAGAGTGCTCTACAGATTTGCGAGTGCATAGCTACGGCTATGGGACCGAGATGTAAAAATCACGTTAGAACTTTCTTCCCACCATTCTTTCAAGGTATTTCAAAGATTACTTCTAAATAAAACGATGTACACTTATTAGATAGTTCGAAATTAAAATTATGTTATGACGTATGCTCCCAACTAATAGTATATGTATTTTGTTTCTTTAATTACTATCTTTACGCCTTATTCAATATTAAGTTTGGTCAATAGAGGATTATTATTACCTTTTTGTTATGGATACGGAATATAATATAAATTACCTTTGATCCATTATCACTCACGTAAAATCTGCAAATATCATTACAATTTTGGATTCTGTAATGTTTGTTCGGTGTAATGATCGACGTGTTCGGTGTCGGTGCAGCGTTCGGCGACAGCAAGCAGTGGATCCGCGCGGCGGCCGTGTCGTGCGTGGAGGCGTGGTGCCGCGAGGCGGGCCCGGCCGCGCCGCTGGAGGGCGAGCTGCTGCTGGACGCGCTCAAGGCGGGCAGCCCGCTGCTGCGCGCCTCGCTGCTGCAGTGGCTCGCCGAGCACCTGCCCAACGGTACGCCTCTTTATACGAATTGCCGATTTCACTCTTCACGGTTAGTTTTACGGTCGAAATCCAGACGGACGATTGCAAATTGTACGATTTATTTTGAAAATCATGGCAGATTCGATTCGCAACGTCGAGCCTTCGAAACGATGTTTCGATATGGAAGAGCTTCGGTTTCAACAGGACGGCGCAACACAAAGAGCGGGAAAATTCAAAAGTTTAGCTTTTACGTCTGACTACGCCTGTGAAGTAACCTCCATGATCATCGAATTTTTCACCTAAAACCAGTTTATCGACGTAGCCACTATCTAAACGTTAGACCATTTGGAACTTAGTGTTTAACGCCGTACAATCCCAACCGTCATAAATCTATATGTGATCCTTCCCCCTTAAAGGAAGTGGCACAAAATTATCTCTTGAAACCAACATCAACGCTTCACTTTAAATCGAATAATTTACAATTAATAAAAAAAATCAAGAACCAAAATAATATTATAACTAGACTTGCAACGAATAGTATATTCGGCAGTATACCGAATACCGAATATTCGGCGAGGCCACTGACCGAATACCGAATATTAGGCAAAAGTATTCGGCTGGATTTTAGCGCCAAAAACTTGTACAGACGTGAATTAAATTATGTACCTGTTTTATGTACCAATGACTACTTAATAAATGATTATAAAAGAAATGAGAACCTTACCCTTCTAAATTTTGATTACCACAATAATTCAAATACATAGAATCCTCCATTTTTCCAATTCAGAAGATGATTATGTACCTGTGTTATGCACCAATGACTACTTAAATGATTATAACAGAAATAAAAATATGAATATATACGTAATCAATCGATTTTAATTTTTCATTTTACCAATTATTTCTCAATGACAAAATATATTATTTAAGTATTCGGTATTCGGCCGAATAATATGTAGATATTCGGTATTCGGCCGAATATAATAAAAGCAGCCGAATAGGCCGAATACCGAATAGTAACCGAATATTCGTTGCAAGTCTAATTATAACACAAGTAGTTCTGTTCACTTGTTCTGAAAACTTAAAGTTTTATAGGTTACAAACGTATGAAATCGTTTACATATTTATTTCTTTATTGTCAACAGTTCCACCAAAGTCGTTCCAGCGTGATGAGCTGTCTATTTGCGTTCCCATACTGTTCAGTTGCCTGGAGGACCGCGCCGCAGACGTACGCAAAGTAGCCGCCGATTGCGTGCTGCCTTTCATGTTGCATTTAGGATACGAACCTATGCATAAACAGATGGATAAATTAAAGGTACAAATACCGGTTATTCTCGTATGCCATTCGCCCAAACAACCATCTTTGCTATCTCAACATAACTTCTTAAAGAGACAAAAAAAAGACAAATTGTGTAAAATGACTTCTCGAATGTATACTTTTTTGTTGGTAAATAAGACTAATAATAATACTAAATTCATACCGTTTCAGCCTGGGTCCAAGACTGTTGTACAAGCCGCTTTAGACAAGGCTAGACCAAATCTGCCAGTGCAACCATTACCAACTAAAGCAAAAAAGGAAGAACAGCGCGGTGTCAAATCAGCTGGGGCTCTTAAGAAAGAAGAAAAGAAAGGCACTGCTGTTAAGGGCAAGGTAAGGTTTGTTTCTTTTTCTTATACCTCTACATTCTAAGAGGTGATGTGTAACACTCAAAGGGCAGCAACACCTTCTCTGAACAGTCTCTTAAGTTGCAGCTGACTGGGTACTCACTCAAACAGGGACCTGTTTGCAAGTTTGCAACCGCCTATACCAGAAAAAAATGCTTTTGTTTCATGAAATGCAAGTGACTTAAGCTAACTTAGCAGTATCATTGCAGTATTGTTAATACACATTATTTATATTTTAGGGTCCTGCTAAACCTGCCTCGGCTACAACTCGTGGCAAAAAGGATGATGAAGACAGTTCACCCTTACTACCTAACAATAATGCAAAGAACCAACGGATTATCGATGACCAAAAATTAAAAGGTAAATTACATCATATATTTGTCCCGTTAAGACTGGAATTAGAATTGTCTGAACAAATGAGAAAAAATATACAATAATAAATAAGAACATAGAAGGACATATTTCATTGATTGATAGTTAATTGCCTAATTTTTATAAGAGTTTCTTAGATTTATTAGAAGTCTACTCATAAGTTTTAAAAGACATAAATTATTATGCTCATAATTAATATTTATTTACACTTTGATAATTGATATTTTTTTTGTGTGGCGATTGATTATATTGGTTATTCAAATAGTGATTTTTCCATGTAGTGTTGAAATGGAATTTCACAACGCCACGCGAGGAGTTCTTTGAGCTGCTAAAGGAACAAATGGCGAGTGCTGGTCTCAACAAACAACTTGTCGCTAATATGTTTCACAATGACTTCAGGTAAGGTCTTAATATTTATTTGTTAACTACCATTCTTTTGCCGAAAACTATACTACACTAAAATCGGTATAAAGATCATCCCAATTTTATCATACCAATCTCTCTACCATTTTCCAAAGTTTATTTTGGGTTGGTGCAATGAGTTTTCTTCTTCCACTCACCATGATCACTCGACATCCTCTTTTATGCACTCCTTTATTTCATTGCGAAATGGTTTATCCTTTTCTTTTTAACCCTCCTTGGGCATATAAAAAGATCACCCCTAATTTTTAACAAATAAATCCCCCTTATCTTTATTTTCCACATCCATTCTGATTCATATTTCTTTCTTTTTTCAGATACCATTTAAAAGCAATAGAAGCTCTATCTGAAGACTTGCACGAAAATGGCCAATCGCTCAGTGCTAATCTAGACTTGGTACTAAAATGGTTAACATTACGGTTCTTCGACACAAACCCATCCGTTATTCTCAAGGGGCTGGAGTACTTGTCCATCGTATTCCATTACCTCATAGAGAGTGATTACACAATGCCCGAATATGAAGCCAATTGCTTCATACCTTATCTTGTACTAAAGGTAAATATATTTTATAATGCATATAATTTAATGCCTCACTGCGTAATTGACATCAGAACCCATCATATTAGATTAGATTCATTACATTAACTGTTTTTGTCTGCTGGCCAACAGGCAAAGGCACTGTGTGTCTAAGATTTGTTCATGACTTCATGACTTTGAACTTTTAATGTCTAATTCCTCAAATATTTGTTAACAATAATGTCCCATAATTTAGACGCACTAAATTCTCGGAAGAGGTCTTGTCATTTTATCAAAAACTATACATAACTAACTATATGACATATTAATTTTACCTTTAGTAAACACAAACAGAATAGATTATTTATTCAGGTAAATAGTCACACGTATGGGAGGCTTTGGGTCACCGAATTAGAAGACTTTAAGTTAAAGCAGAAACAGACATGATAAGTAGTATCTGGTTCGATTTGTCACATGATCCTGAACTACATCTAAAAATTGATCTTTTACAAAATTGGACTTTAGACCGAATAGCTTCCTTTTATCATTTGTTACTGTGCCAAGGTATATAAACAATGTGAGGGAAATATAAATACGAAAAGTTGAAGGTATGTAAGTAGGAAGGTAGTACAATAACATTATAATAATCTGAAAACGCGTAATTTATGCGCATTTTATCGCCTCCTGACAATGCGATAAGATTTCGTTAATCGTCGATAAGATTTGATATCGTTTATTACCTTGATTGTAGTAATATATAAACATTACATATGATTGCTAATTAATTATACCTTTTTAAAACAACTTTGTAATATTGTCCTACTTTTTTAATTTATTTTGCTTTATATTAGGTGGGGGATCCAAAAGACACAGTTCGCAACGGCGTGAAAGCATTGTTCAAACAAATATGTGTGGTATACTCAGTGACCAAGTTGTTTGGATATTTGATGGAAGGTCTCAAGTCAAAAAACGCGAGGCAGAGAGCTGGTAAGTATTTATGGCAACATAATTTAACCATATTTTTGTCTATAGAAAATCACTCTTCTATTCTTTTCCTCTTCAAAACGGTTATAAATATGGAAGCAATCCAAAAATAACACCTAACCACTTTGGAATCATGCAATATTGCTATAAATATAGCCACACAAACGATTTTTATTATTCTCCTCTCATTACTAAAATGGATGAATACAAATGATTCCAGAATGTCTGGAGTGCATCGGGCACCTCCTCGAGACATACGGGTCCACGGTGATGTGCGGCAGTGGCGGCGGCACGCTCAAGGAGCTGGCGCGACACATCGGGGACAGGGACAACGCTGTACGCTCCGCCGCTCTCAACTGCGTGGCCTCTGCTTACTTCCTAGAGGGAGAGAAAGTCTACAAGATGATTGGACAGGTAAGAGATTTAGGTGTTTAAGAAAAACCTTTAGTTCTGGCTATTCTGCCCTACTAACCTAACCTTTTATTCTGATAATGAAACACAGTTACTTTAATCTAATTAAGCTATCTAAAAAGTAATATTATCAATAGTATTCTATATTATATAAAATATTATGTAAACGTAATATTATATCTAACATCTGTGACCACTCACTGCCCTAATTTTTGTCACTTGTGATTCAGCCACCATCCCTCATAGTGGCCTTTTTGTTGCTATCTTAAGTGTTTATTCCGCTTCTGCTAGAATTCCCATTGAAATAAAAGTCTGTTGTACCTATACCTTTAATAAAATCTGAAAATGTTATCTTTTAGAAGAAGTGACGAGTATTAATATTTAATGTTGAAACCAAAATCAGTACAATTACAAACAAATATTATTTTTTTCCAGATATCAGACAAAGACTTGTCGCTATTGGAAGAGCGTATCAAACGCGCGAGCAAGAACCGCAATGCAGAGTCCCGCCGCTCCATGCTCGTTCCTCTCTCAGCTTCCGGACGTCCCGTCATGGTTCAACAGCATGAAGAGCCTGAACCTAGGCGGGTCATTTCTGTGGACACTAGTCCAGTTGAATACGAGGAGGAAGAGGAACAGATCCAACCTCCTCCACCACCCAACCCGTGAGTACTAATGTGCTAGCTATACAGTAATCAACATTGGCTACCTAACAGCAAATACTTGTCCGTAAAAAAAGGAAGAGACAATGAATAGATTCATCATCATCATCATCAACAGCCTTTAATAGTCCACTGCTGGACATAGGCCTCTCCTTAGTAAGGAGGCTTTGGCCTTCTATACCACGTTGGCCAGACGGGTTGGTATAGGGTTTGTTTCAAGTTTTCCTTCTCTTTGCAGTGCTGTTGTCCTGCGTAGTTTGCTCCCTTAGTCGTCTCTTACGACACCCACGGGATGAACAGGGGCGGTGACACTCCGTATTCTCAATCCGTCACCACACGGACCTAGATTACAACCCCTAAATAAAAAAACTCTTTATCTAAGTTAAGCATATATTTTTATGAATTTTATCTTTGCTGTTACATTGTAATCGTATCTCTAGTCGGACAGCATTGATTCTATTTGCGTTAAAACTGTCAATACACTTCTGCTTTAATACAAGAGGCTGACAGCATATATATTTTAATTGTTACAGTGCCCCACCAGAACCGAAAGTCATAACAGGTCCTTTTGGGCTCGATCCGGAATTGATAGCGCAGCTCGACGCCGCTGTGCCAGTGTTGCGACAACCAGACGTAGAGGAGATTGACCTTCGATTTCTTGACGAGCCGATACCTAACGCGAGCGTCAGACCCAATATTTCACACACACAACCTCCGATCAGATCCAGGTAAACTACAACCGAGTATTATTATGTAATTTCATTTTTACAACAATTAAGAATTTAGATTTACACTGTTTGTGATAGACTTAATAATTAGGGCAAAGTCTCAATAACAACTTAATGACATGCTGCCCATTGAAGGTGTTCATTGCTAAGTCGATAATAGTATGAGTTTTTTGAGTGAGTGTTTAGATAAGACTAACACGGGGCGATAGGGCGTAAGTGATTCTGCGTTTTTTTTTTGCGTAAATTCTATCTGACCTGCAAGTGTCTTTTAGTAATCATAATCTCTCAGCCGTTCTTTACCATTTTGTAGGCCTCCTTCAAATTACACCATTTATCCTGGTCTTGCGCGCTTCTTACTTCCATTCGATTTGTCCCTTCAGTTTTTTGACGTTATTTTCTATAATGCACTAGCAGATCATAGATCAAAGGGCCTAGTACATGTTTATTTCGCATCAACTCGCTCTCGACAGCAAACGTTTTCGACGTAGCTTGGGCGACTCTTCACTTGAGATTGGTTGAAAATTTCAGTGCGGGCCAATCGTAGCGCCGAACACGATTACACCGTGACGATCGAGTAGATCTGAAATGATGCTTGCATATCACTGCACTTGTGTTCACTTTGTTACTGTAGTACGAATATGTTTGAATGTGTGTTGCAGCATGGTGGGCATGTCTCCCCCTCGGCACGTGTCTCATGTAGGCCACGTGGGCCACACGGCTCTGGTGAGTGGGCAGGCGCCGCATTCGTTACCCTCGCACGTAGACGATTCGCAGCTTGCTGACACCATACACTCGATAGCTAGTCCTGACTTAAATGTGAGTATGATTTATTGTTATTTCATCTTTTGGACATTGTACAAGTAAATCTTCTTTTTCAGAAGATATTTTACGATTAATGTTAAGTGATTATTTTAATTTTGCACCTTCGAATTTGCTGATGATATAGTTGTCATGGTTGAAGCCGTGGAAGGCCTTAGCACAAAGCTCGATGAACTTAGTAGGTTCTCTAAACGAGTGGGTTTTAAAATGAACATGGATAAGACGAAAATTATGTGTAACGCCCATGTTGCACCCACTCCACTCAACAGCGGAGACTCTACGCTTGAAATTGGCAATGAGTATGTTTACCTGGGACATACTCTTTGGGGAAAGATTTACTTGTGGAAATAAATATCATTTCATTTTGGTCCAACTTGAAAAAGCGGTCAATTATCGAATCCAACTAGGTTTGCCAGAATTCGGTAAGCTGCTTGATATTTTCTTGTCCCAAATACCGCAGTGTTTCAAGACAAAAGTTTTTGATCAGTGTGTGTTGCCAGTGATGACATATGGTGCAGAGACGTGTTCGAACACTGTGAGCTTCATAAGAAGGTTGAAAGTCACCTAAAGAGCAATGGAGAGGGCAATACTCGGAGTTTTTCTGCGTGATCAAATCAGGAATGAGGAGACGAACCGAGGTCACTGACATTACCAAACTTAAGTGGCAGTGGGGGGGCACATCGCTCGCAGAAACGATAGTCGATCGGACCACAAAGTTTTCGAGTGGCGACCGCGTACTTAAAAACGCATATAAAGAAAAATATTTTTAATAAAAAAAGTGTCCTAAAAGAATTTATTAGGTCCTCACATATGAAATTAGCGTTTTGTCGTACTGACCACTGACCGAATGGCTAAAGTACATAGATAACAACGATACTTTGATTAATTAAATATATTTTACAAAAAAAAATAAACTTTATATTCCACCCGTACAAAACGCCAATTTGATATGAAAGGACCTAATATTTGTTGATATTTAGCTTTGACCTGAGTCGTATGTGGGGGCGTGTTCTCAGGCGGCGATCCGCGCGCTGTCGCTGATCTCGGGCGCGCTGGTGTCGGGGCGCGGCGCGGCGCTGGCGGCGCACGAGGCGCGCCTGCTGGGCGCCGTGGCCGAGCAGCTGCGCCGCCTGCGCCACGCGCCCGCCGCCGACGCGCTGCCCGCCTACAAGTACCTGGCCAGCGCGCTCACCACCGTACGTGCGACCACCGACACCCATGCGGTGTCGCTGTGGACCGATTCCTTATATTAATATTAAGATTATTATCATCGAGCGGCCGGCAGGCGATAAATATTGTATAGTCTATCTGCGACTCGACGGCTGCTCTGCCCCCGCATTTTAAATTTTTGATATCTTCTAAGATATTAATTTTACATACTTCCATACTTATATTATAAATGTAAAAGTGAGTGTGTTTATTTGTTTCTTACGCTATCACGCTTAAACCAGAAAACCGAATTTAAAAACTTTCACATTTACGAAACTTTTTAATTTAAATTAATTTAAAAGAATGCCAATTAAAATAAATAGTATATTAAAATTCTATACACTTAATAAAAGCTATAGAACTTTTGTAAATTGAAAATTTTAATTTCTACGTCATTATACCATTATTTTGAAAAGAATTTTAACTTAATGATCACCGCTTTTGCCTGCAATTCAAGTAAAAATGCATTTTGTCAATCAATTAATTACTATTTTTTTTATAACTGTTATCTTTTCTGTACCCCTGTTTTTTTTTTCCGTGCGGAAATCCCCTCAGATACCACCTATCGGTGACATGTCGGACTCGAACCGACTAAAACCGCACGCCGTCTCGGGTACTAATAGCCGGGGAACCAGGTATACCCTAGAAAGGAAGTCCCTGGTGCCCCGACATACCTCGGGCCATCTACAGACGAGTAGACGACCCCCCCGTGTGGGAACCCCATGTTCCCCTGCTCCCTGGAAGCGAGCACGCTTCCCAACGCGCTCGCCGCCACTCCGGCCTGCTTCTGCTAGGGTGACAAATGGCCTCACCTGTCACCCCCAGGCCTGCGCTTATGGAGGACGGAGATCGTTCTGCGACCTCCGGCGCCTGAGTCGCCTGCGGTACCTAGCCCGTGCCCGGGCCTGGCGGGCCGGGAGAGTTCTAAACCTCTCCCGGTCCCGCTCCGCCGTCTCCTTCCCGAGCATAACTTGCTCGCAGAAGGAGACGGCAGAGTTCCACGCACTCTCGCTCCGCACGATAGCCGCAATCAGGCTTTCGAGCGAGAGAACTCCCACTCCGATGGCCGCCACGAGGTCTCGCCTCTGCTCAACCCACGCCGGGCACTCTGTCAGCGTGTGGAGAGCCGTGTCCACGGTCTGGCCATCGCAGTGGTGGCACTCGGACTTGGTTGGCTCCTTGGGGATCAGACACAGGTGATCCCCGAAACATTCTTTCCCAGTGATCACCTGCGTCAGTCGGTATGAGAGAATCCCGTGACGCCTCTCGAGCCAATCCTCCATAACGGGTCTTACCGCCGCGATGACGGCGTGCCCGGCGCTCGGTTGCCCGAGTCGTTCCCTCCACCTTTTCTGTACTTTATATCACTTTCTTTTTCAAAAGTGTCAACCACACAATTATATATTGATATTATTGTTGATCTTTTTCCAGTTTTACGAGACAGCTGGTTGTGGTTCTAACGTAGGTGAGCAGGCACTATGCTCACTAGTGGGCGAACTACTACGAGTGCTGGGGGCGGGCGGAGCTACAGGCTCTGACGGCGAAAGACTTGTGCGGATACTCAACAATGTCTGCGTCAGAGTGCTCGAACATTCACCGAGAACACCTCTGCTTTGGTAATTATTACACACCCTTACTTCCTCCGAGCCTTTTTCTCAAACTAAGTTGGTGTCTACAATTGTACGGCTGAATTGAGCTGATTTTTTACGGAGCGAATAAACTGCCATCAGTCAACAACCCTAGTAGTAGGCGATTACTAGGTCATATCGAAGTTTTGTAGAAAGACTATTTTACAACTTTTTAATTCTCCAACTACCCATAACGATTATATAACGGATTATCGTGCTTTCTGAGGCACGGAGGGGTCTCAATTTATTAAGAATGGTCCATAGACTGACCTGGCTAGGATTGCTTCTAATCAGTTAAGACTTAGTTCTCTAAGAGCCTCTCATTATAACTATAAAGCTCCTAATTATAGGGCACCTATTTTACTTTAAAGCCCCTTTAAGAAATTTATCAAGAAAATAATTGGTCTTATCAGGTAACGAGACAAATGAAAGAAATTCTCAATTCAAAGGATAATTGTTTTGATGTAGTCCCATTTTGATAATACTTTTTTTATTGATTAAGATAGATTATGGCCTTTTTAAATTTGAAATACTTATAAAAACTGTGGATAGATATGTACATATCTAGTATACATATAATGTAGCCTTAACTTAACTTTGTAGTTGAACCAAGAAGTACCAAAAATCTTTTTAACATCCTTGCGGGGCATAACCTTAAATAACCTAAAACAATTTTTAATCAAGACTTTTTTCCACAGTGCCATAGTATCCCTGTTACATGAATCCATTGGCGTCTCCGACCCAGCATGTCCACGCTACCAAGATCTACTTCTAAAATGCTTTTGGAAAACACTTAAGATGATATCCTCTTGGGATGTGAACTCCATAGATTACGATGCGGTGCTCTACAGAATACACCTTTTCTATAAGGCTTATCCTAACAGTTATTGGAAAAAAAATCCAGAAATAAGTGATACTCCTTATAGGTATGTCTTATTATGATGTTTCAACAAATTTTACTAGTAGCTTAAACAGTCACCTATCCAGAAGAACACTTTGATGTTCTGAGCCTGGGTGTTCTTTGTGTCCGTTTCATGTATGTTTATAAAGAAACCTGCGACACAGTTGAGTTGTCTTAAAACAAAATTAGTTTTTAAATGGTGTTGTCTAAACTAATATTCGTTACATTCTTATATAAAAAAAATATAGTTTGAGTATAATGAACCAAATGGGAATTCAGCGCAGCAAATCTAGGCGATATTGTAATATATCCTTTATTTTTATAACAGAACAGTGAAAACTTTGGTGCATACTCTAGTCAAAATGAAGGGCGGTACAATCACAAATCATCTCACACAAATACCGGACGTTAACGAATCAGATCTTTACCCGTATCTACTTAAAGTATTAAAGGTAATGTTGTTTTACTTTAAATAAAGAATACTAGCAACGTGCGTCATTACTAGTATCCTTGTTAATTTATATATGTTTGTATTATGAGTGGGCTAAAATCGTTAGTATGGTGGGTGTGGTTCGAAACTGTAACCACTTTGCCTTCATTTGGAAAAACGAGAAAATTTTATAATAGAAAAATATTAATTTAAGCATTCTCTACCGCTATCTGCTACCTTTACTACTTAAGACACTGAGATGACTGCACGGATGGCGTAGTGGTTTAAGCGCTCGCCACGCCGCTCACTACTACGCTGAGTGTTGTGGGTCCGATCCCAACATGGGACGACACTTTGTGTGATCCCCAAACTGTTATTTTAAACAAATTTTACTGGTAATTTAAACAGTCACCTATCCGGAACAACACTGATGTTCTGAGCCTGGCTGTTCTTTGTGTCCGTTTCGTGTATGTTTGTAAAGTCCCCCGGGAAAGAGGATACATTCCTAATGCGGAAGTTGTATTTTTGAAAAAAAAAAAGAAAAGATGTATTCATGAAGTAACTATATGGTTTGTAACTTAACTGTTTTCATGTAATTTCATCCACGCAACAACTTGAAAGATAATAAATTTAGTTAACATAGTGGTATGATTTATTGCTAAACTTATTATATTATACATCAAACTACATTATATTTCTACGTATGTAGTAAAAACAATATTTTTTTGACTCTTTGCAGTCATTATGTAATGTAATATAATTTTTTCTATTATTATACGATTGACGCCTGTTAAGTTTTACATTTTAAATGGTCTTATAAGCCCAAGGTCTCCTAAAACAATATCATATATTCTCCGCAGCAATTAAAACTAGACGAGAAGAAAGAAAACACATCAGACATATTAAACGGTGGTTCAGTTCTGGCGTCAGTGCCGCCGAACAATGCGGCGTTAGCGGCGGGCAGGCTGCCGAGGGCTGTGCACGAGGAACTCGCGCTCATATTGAAGAGAATCGGCACAAAAGAGCATAACAAACAGGCTTTGTCGCAACTTTACGATCTCAGGGTGAGTTCATTATTGTTATATATACATAAAATACAAGAAAAAAGAGAAAACCAGCTGAGATTATAATAGTATTGATATCTTAAAGTGTAATCGTCAAAGCCACCATACAGTATACACACACCAGACACCACATATCCACGACACGGTTGATTGATCTCCTCACCTGCTGTATCTATTTTGTTTTTCCTGATGTAAATACATATATACTTTTTTATAGATACGTACATATTAAACATAGAAACACACAGACCACATCAAACATTAAAAGTTCATGCACACAAATGTTTGACTAGAACGGGTATCAAATCTTTGGAATAGCAGTCAATATTATCCATTACAAGTTTCACGGAAAGAGCAACATTCAGTCATGCTATTATATCTCTATTTATTAGATCATATATGTATATAATCTCACCTGATAGATTGAGTGTAACTGGAATGCCAACTCAAAGGTTAAATAGGGACGAATTGGATGTCGAAACAAAAAAGTATGGCATATTCTTGAATATTGTATTTTACAGGAGCGTCACCCCGAAGTGGACATCTGGACGTTCATGCAGGGCTCTTCGTTCTACTTCCGCAACTACGTGGAGCGTGGACTGCGCGAGGTGGCCGACCAGAGAAAACTCTCCTCCATGCCCATCTATAAACACGACTTTAAGGCTGATAATATCGGTCAGTACAAAAGTATGTTCCAAACACAATAAATGCTCTGCTGTAGCACAGTAACGATCTTAGTAGAAATAATCGACTCCTCCGTACAAGTACATCACACCATAGAAATTGTTTTCTACACCATAACCATTACGAAGGTAATGTTGATGAAAGAAAGTAACTCTAACTGTTATTCATCCATTACCAAGTTGGAGTTCTTCAGAAAAGACCTACGTTACTAAATCACAACACAACAAACAATTGCTGATGTAAAAATCTTGTATCAAAGCAGTATTCGGACCACGAAATACCAATCGTATCAGAATGTGAAGTATATTAAACGCAAACTTGGTGTTTGTTCCAGATATAACCAACGAAAACGAAGAGAAAACACATGTTGTATTCATGGAAAGGCTTCGAGCTTTGCAGGTTTGTACTTGAAATTATCTTAGTTTACCCTGCTAAGATAATTATGGTCTGTGGCTATTTGATGTCCTTAATGTAGTGAAGAAGAGTGGTCTCTTGACCACTACAATAAGGACATCAAGTGGCCATGTCTTCATATCAATTCCTATTCAGATATCGTAAATTGAAAAAGTTGATATATCTATTTGTAATTTTGAATATCTGTCAATTTTATTTTCATAAGAATCGTTTGAAGCTACGCCGCTTCATAATCAACAAAATTTATTGCTTTTCAGGCCAAAGCAGGATTAAAAACCGAGTTATCACCAGCATCCCAGCCCCGGACACCGGTGGGGGACAATAGAACATTTACTGACTCTATCAATGATAACACATTGTCTCGTGGACACAGCATTGATCCTCAACTCGAGGTGAGTATTACTGATAGCTAGTAGTAGTAAGAATCGTCCTCAATACTAAAAGAGATACTTGGGCACAGAAGAACAGCATACAATAGTATAGGTGAATGACAAATCAATTTTTTTTATCACCATTATCATCATCAAAACTGAACTAAAAGCAGAAAAAAACTACCTTAAAATCTTAATTTTTTTTTTACCCAATAACTTTTAAAATCCTTGAATTGTTATCTCTCTTGTGAAGCTTTAGCAGCCCTACATACCAACAGTCAAACCACAGTAACCTATTAGCATTTCCTAACTTAGTCTTGGGTGAACTTTTTCAGTCGTGAACTGTCAATTTTTATACATCAGGACATAAAAAAAAGACATTGCAGATTTATAATTTCAGAAGACAATATTTACCGGTACACTTGTTAGTAGATAACTTATTTATTTTGTTTTTGTTTAGGGGTTACTGTAAAATACAGTGCTGTTTCTATTTTTCAGTTGCACACGCAATCAGTAGCACAAAGGAACGAAGCTGAAGTAGACGCTTTACGCCTCAAATTGCAACAAATCAAGAGTTCATCGAAGAGATAAGAATTGCCTATGCACACGCTCTCACGGATCTGGTAGCTCTCTCATTGTCACGACATGTTATATAATACTTTAACGTTGCACATGCGTTCTACATTCGGCAAATATCACTACAACCCGGAAGGAGATCCTCTCCCTAATATCCCGAGTGCTAATGTGTCTACTAAAATCTAAATTGTAAGTTATAATTCTCCCTATGCATAGATTCTAATTTTAAATAGTGGGATAGTAGCCTATGTTCAAAATAATGGAAAAAAAACTCAAAATACTCAGAAATTACATGGTTTTCTTTGACCAAATAAACATTTAATTATATATCATTAAATTAATGAGTTAATGAACTTACAATAGTTGAGTATATTGCTACTCCAATAAATTTTAACAAAAGTTTTTATACCACCTTATTGTTTTACTTAATCAATTATGAATTTCAAAAGTACGTAGTTATGTATAGCGTTCTATACCCTCTTAAAGAGGCATACAAAAATGACTAATTGGCTTCGTTCATGTCGGTTGCATTTCTATGACGACTTTGTATCATGTAATGCCATGTCATGCTAGTTAAACTTATTTATTTTATTTCACAACTCCCCTATTCTCTAGTAAATATTCAGCTCGCTTAAAATAACTCGAAATTGAAATCTCATACGTCACCATTAGAAAATAAACATCTCATTTAGTACCTAAGTAATGTTTGGCCTATGGGTGAACCGATGTAGCGTCCATGTTATGATGTCCTTACTGAGTGTTGACATGACAATATGAAAAAACAGTATCGCCTTACACAGGGTATAAATCGCTTCATAAACATGTGAAATTGTGTCTTAGTAAGGCATCATTTTTGTTACCCCTATTCTGTTTAAAAAAAAAAAGAATGCACAGAATAGGGTGTACACCTTTTGAAAAATTGAGATAGTTGTCTGTGTATACATAGAAATAATTGAATAGAGAATAATCTTGGTCAGTAACAATAGCTGATGTGATATTTCATTGTTAATTTGTGAGCTATATCATGAACGCTTATGCTATTAGTTTTTTCTGCTCTTGTTGCTGACTTTGTGGTGTCCTAGTTGACCTTGTTATATAAAAGAATGATTTTTCTATGTAGTAAAGTGTCGTGTGTTTTTAAAAGTTACCCACTGTTTACAGTTATACAATTTCTAATCTCGTTATGCAAAATACCATCTGGTTAAAAAATTAGGTAAGTCGGTTTGTTGCTGCAACTTGGCTTGTCTACTGTTGTTTTTTAAACTGAACAATGCGTGATAGTTACTATACGTATGCGTCACTGTAAGTTGTACCAAGGTCTTACACGTCAATTGAGGTGTTCGAAAGCGAAAGATAAAGTACACCAAATGGTTGTAGCTCTACTTAATCAATAATAATCACATACATCGCGCAGTGTAAAAAGAATTTTAAAAAATAACTTGTGCTGTTATATATCTAACCGACTAGACTGATAGTAACAAAATTAGTTATGTTAGACCAATTGCATGTGTTTTGCACCATCTCACATTGTAGCTTATAAAAATATTATGTATTTGGTGTTGTATGCATTTGTGCCCCATTTACTCATAAGGCGTCTCTTAAGACTTCCACTTGATGCAACTTCCAAACTCGTTATATGTAATATACCTATATTTCCAATTGACGCATCCTTGTAGTAAAGCTATTATGTGGCTTCATTTATCGTTTAAAACAAAGTATACAGTAAAATTGAGTAGTTTGTCTGACTGCAGAATTGTCACTGGCTGGTATGATGAAGGAACATTTGTATGATAATGTAGAGTATGTAGAATAAGAAAAGTCAGAAAATTACTTGATTAAACGTAGGAAAACTTATATAATTAATTCTTTATATAGTAACCAACATTATTATCTGACATATTTACAATATTCCCCTGTGAATCATTTCCTGTAGAGAGATAGAGAGAGTTATATGTGTAAAATTACTGTGTAAGGCACTCTCAGAGCCCAGTTATATATGTTTGGTCAATGTAATTTTCATTAAGTGAAAATTATTATTGATGTGTAATGTCCAATGAAACTATTAACGTTTTTATAAAAGTTAATTTTGTATGTATTTTATTACAACCGTGTTGTTTTTATTGTGTTCAAAGACTGTTTTATTGGGACTTAGCAGACCAATTTTCATTACAATGTTTAAATTTAAAGTTAACTTTCGAAACCAATATTAAGTGTTGCCTATTCCTGTTGAATAATTGCGTGATGTTATTAGACGACTACTATTGTGTGTTTTAGCAATTATTTATTGTTTTTACTCTTTGATTGATCGTTTAAAACGTAGTGTTCGGAGTGTTGTGTTTAGTTGAAGATGCGCGACCAGTCGTCATCCAGTAGGTTTGTAAGAAAACTTTGTGAGCTGAGATGAGGCCATAATTCATGTATTTAATTAGCCACACATGCACATAACTTTCTAATAATGTAAATTAAACATTCCTCTCAGTATTGGTTTTTGTATGTACAAATTTTTGTCCATTGTCATAATTATATTTATTAACCATTGTATACATTTGTGGTTGCATGATTACGACTCGATATTTACCAAACGCTCATAATAATACTAAAATATTAATATGGAATCTGAACAGACATCACTTGTATTGCCTTTCATTGATATGTTACGTTCGGATACGTTCAATCGATTTTCTTCCCGAAATACAAAAAAGTCAGTTAGTTAATGTCCTATTCACTTTTCACATAAAATAAATAATTTCAATCAGTGATGGCACATAATATTCGTTCTGTCCTTTGTGTTAAATTTAATTTAATAAAATGTTTACAAAGGAGATGTCACATGTGTTTTCGCATTCTGATAAACCTTTTTTGTTACCAGAAAAAAGGTAAAACGAAACAGCCTTTAAAAAAAAAAGACATTGTTTTCATCTCCTTTGTAATTAGTTAATTACTGTTTATGTTCTTTGGAAAAAGTACGAAATTGACACCTTGACAAGGATTCCTCAAGAATTTGGTCTGAGAATATATAATCATCACTAGTTTAAATTTGATTATTCGAAGAGATTATTTTGGATTCCATTTTAATGTGTCATAAGTTAGGTTAGTTTTTTTTATTGTATTTGGTATAAACATTCGCTTTTTTTAAAACATGACGTCATATTGATTATTGTGAGCATTTATTTATTATATTATGTAAATTAATGTTTAAAAAATCATGATGTAATATTAATGATAATAAAGTTCATACAACACTGGTAAAATTGTATTTTTTTTTCGGATAAAGCCTTACGATGTCTCCAATAGAACGCAAACTTTTTAAACAAATTCACCACAGCCCTCAGGATCCCCATTAAATTTGTACTTTTATATTCGTTAAGGTGAAGAATATATTACTTACTAGCTGTTGCCCGCGACCTCGTCCGCGTTAATTTCTAACGGCAAAAGTTCTCAAGTATTTCTGGTGAGTATGGCGGATGAGGGAGAGCTTCCCACCCCAGCTCTTGCAGCTTGGAGACTGTCTGTTGCGCAGTATGGGGTCGCGCGTTGTCGTGAAGGAGCAGTGGGGACGACCGATTGACCAAAGCTGGTTGCAGATGTGATCACCAGACCTTGCACCTACCGACTATTACTTTTTTCAAAACTTAGACAACTTTTTAGTGGGTAAAAAATTCAATTCCCGAGAGGCAGTACAAAATGCCTTTGAAGAGTTTGTTGCCTCCCGTCCAGCTGATTTTTACAAGAAGGGCATCAATAAGCTGCCAATGCGTTGGCAAAGATGTGTCGATTGCATGGGTGATTACTTCGAATAACAGAAATAAAAAAGTTTGAAAAAATAAGTACTTTCACTTATTGCATACAAAACGGCAATTTCAAAGGTAAAGACCTATTATATTATATCCGGAATAACAAAGTGAAACAAACATATAGCATTTATTATAGTTTTAGTGCTTTTGACTGCACGGTTCGCGTAGTGGTTTAAGAGGTCGCCACGCCGCTTCATACTGCGCTAAGTGTTGTGGGTTCGATCCCCACATGGGACACCACTTCGTGTGATCCACGAATTGTTGTTCTGAGTGCCTGGGTCTGGTTCTTTATGTCCGTTTTATGTATGTTAGTAAAGTCCAATGCGACACAGGATAAATATTCATAATGCAGGACTTGTCCTAAAAGAAAAAAAATTGGTATCTCCAAAACGTGCATTTTGAACGCATCAACAGCCTCTTCACGGCTAGAAAAACGTTGACCACGTAATTTATTCTTCACGTTTAGGAATAAATAGAAGTCGTTGAGGGCCAAGTCAGGGCTGTACGCGGACTACCCGTTAATTCGATCTTTTGATCTTCCAAATACTGAGTTGTTTTGGCCGATGTGTGGCAGCTAGTATTGTCATGATGAAGAAGGATTTTGCGCTGTCGGTTATTCTTTCTTATTTATTTAAAGACTTGACAAACAAATGATCGTGTACCATTCAGAATTGACCGTTTTACGATCCTCTAGTGGTACTGTAGCCACATGTCCATTTATACCAAAAAAACAAGCGACCATTTGCTTCAAAGTGCTGAACGAATGACTTTTGTTGGGTTCGGCTCATCTTGGTATACCCAAGCCGTTGATTGTAGTTCAGTTTCAGCATCATACGCAAATATCCAAGATTCATCACCTGTGTAGGTATGTAACATGACTATCTTGCATTATTAGTTCCCGCACAGCATCAATATTTTGAGGTACAACAACCGATTTTGGGCGACCTTCTTTAAATTCGTCCGTGTGCACAGACCGCCCTCGATTAAACTCACTAAACCAGTGATACACAGTTGTTTTAGATGGTGCTTCGTCCCCAAAATTCAAAGTGAGTTGATCGATGCACTGTTTTTGAGTTAGCCCTCGCCGAAAATCGTAATAAATCATAGCACGAAAATCTTCACGAGTTAAATCCATAGTGATAAAGACACGCAATTTTCAAAATGACGTCACAAAGGATAAACAGATGACAGATACATGAAACAAATTGTATTCTTGAGCCA